TTCTTAGGAAGGGTTATGTTTGTTGCCACTTTTGCCAGACTTCTCCATAGCTCTTTCAAACAAATGGTGCTAAAATCACCTGCCAGGTTTTGACATCCCAACTAGCCACCCTGAAAAAACCAGCAACAAGCCATGGTTCTTTGGGATGGCTTGTGCATGGTTAACAAACCATGCTGACGCCACCCCACTAGGCTTGGAAAACACTGAAGACCATTGTGAAACAAGCAGGGCTCACAACACTGCAAGTTGTGCAAACCTGTCCATGGCTTCGTTCACATACAATTAGAAGCTAGCAAGGAGGAACTTCCTTGTGGGGGTTTCTGAGGCAGTAATGACCACAGTTTTGAATATTCAGGGTTGTGGGTGCATGGTGCCCTAGTTTCTTGTTATGTGCAAACTGTCAAGGGTGTGTTGTTGGTGCAGTTCAGAATCCACCACTATCCCTCAAACAGCACATGGGTTCTGGATGGCTTGTCAATCACCCCAAGAACCCATCTTTGCTAGGTTTGCACACAAGAGAGCCGATGTGATGTGGTGGTTAGAGTGTAAGACTGGAGATCTGAGAGATCCAAGTTCTAGTCCCCATTCAGCCATGAAGCTCACTGGATGACTCTGAATTCTTGGCCAATCACTCATTCTTAGCCCAACTTGCCTTCCAGGGTTGTTGTTAACAAGGAAAAAATGGAGTGCAGGAGGAGTTATTCCTTGCAATGTAACAGCAGCAGCAAGAAGACACTATGGGGCACTCTCAAAGTGCCCCAAACATCTGAAATGGAGCCAAAGCAGGATGAGAAACCCCATGGAGCACTCTCTCTCTCTCTCTTGCTCTCTCTCTCTCGTGGAGGTTGACTGTAGGCTGAGGATCTTTGCCCTTCCATATTCAAAGTGTTTCGCTTGAAGATGGGGAAGGGTCAGGTGAATGTGGGTGCCATTATTTGGAGAACAGTGTAATGGCAGAGACAGGTACTCCTGTCTTCTAGAGGTGTGCTAGTAGCTTCCCTTCCTGCATTCTGCAAGGGCTGTTCTGAGATGGGGAAGAATGCTGCGACAGGGGCAGAGTAAGCCCAGGTAAATCAGTCAAGGAGTGGAAGGCCTCTTTGAGTACTTGCAAAGCTGATCTACTGAATGATAAGTTTCAAGAATTAAAAAAGGTTCAGAATCAGACTCACTAGTTCTGTGTAGCTTTTTCTATAAGCAGGCCTGCACCCCCCTCCCCCCAATACCAGTCCAACATTTTATGCATTTCTTCCACACCAGAAGAGAACAGCTTGGCAATTTTGGAAAGCTCTAATATTGTCCCTGCACCCACAGCAGACAAAGGTAGTCTTCAAAATGGTCCGTTTCAGCAGTCTCATTGCTTACTAATCCTACTTGGCTGACTAGAAGTAATTTCCTGCAAAATGTTGCTGCATTCTTAATCAGGGCCATGACTTACATGTGGCTTCAGAGGGAGCTATGAGAGATGCTTCCTTAAAATAGCACTAGAGTAGGCATATGTCTAAGAGCCGGTGTGGTGTAGTGGTTAAGACTACAGGGCTGCAATCCAGGAGATCCGGGTTCTTGTCCCCACTCAGCCATGGAGCTCACTGGAAGACTTTGGGCCAGCCAGAACTCTCAGTCCAGCCTACCTTACAGGGTTTTTACTGTGAGGATAAGACTGAGAGGAGATGAATTATGTGGGCACCCTGAGCTCCTTGAAAGGAAAAAAAGGCAGGATAGAAATTCAACAAACAAGCAAGCAAGCAAGCAGCAGGCCCTCTCACAAAGCACCAAGGGGGAAGGGTCGTGGCTGCACATTAAAATGTTGCACATAGCTAGAACAAGAGCACATGCATGCAGCTTGGCTGGCTCTTCCTATACAACAAACACACACAATGGAAGGAAATAGCTTGTTCTACATAGGCCGAAATTTGAATGAGTAAAAAATCTGAGTAAGGATAATTAATGAGGCTGTGGAAGGGGGAAGTTCTCACAGAGAACTCTGGCAAGATCTGCAGATACTATTATTTATTCAATTTATATCCTACCCCCCACACCCAAAAAATAGCACTCAAGAAAGCAGCAATGAAATATAGTTTAACAGCAAAAATTGAATTCAAAAGTAACATAAACCAAACTAAAACACAATTGAAAGCACAGCAATGCAAGAAATAAAAAGCACCCAACCAATGAAAACCTCATTCAACAACAGACCATTTTGCATGTTGAAGGCCTTGAATAAAAATAACTTTGTGAGGGGCGTAGGGGTAGGCCATAGAGAAGGCCCTATATTGTGCTTCCCCAGGTATTCTTGTCTCCTGCATGGCTGCAGGACTATGTATCCATGTGTCATATAAATAGTAATATAAATATTCCTAATTTGGAAGACTAGATTTTGAGCTAAAGCCAGTTATTTCTAGTTTCGCTTGAGAGAAAGGCTTGTTGGATTCTAGAATCTGTGGGCTGCATCCTAAGAATTGTGAGGAGAGCTGTTTATGGAATGTGCCTTTCCACCTCCTCCTTCCTGCTTCGGTCTCCCGTGCTCCCTGCAAAGCTCCTCCCGAGTGTTTGGGCCCCTTTGGAACACCATTTCTTTCCAGAGTTCGGGGCTACACGGCACGGCTGCCAGCACCCAAGGCTTATTGCCTCTGTCATCAAAACTTGCCTTTAGTTAGAACACATTGTACAAAAAGAGATTATTATAGGGCAGCCTTCCCTGGCTTGGTCAAGCTTTTCAGAGGTCTGGCTACAACTCCCAAAGGCTTCCAGCCAGCCTCTTCCAGGGAGAGAGCGGGATAAGTGGCAGGAGCATTCCTGGGAGTTGCAGCCCAACACATCTGGAGGGCATCAGCTGAGAAGGATGACCTAAGATGTCCAGGAACATTTGGCCTGGCATAACCTTTAGGTGACGGCATAAATGTTTGCAAAACTGAAATATGGGATCTGGGCCAATCCTCTCATTGTGAATGCGGTAGGACGCTTTAAGGCATGTACAACATTAAACAAAAATTCTCTTGGGCTTGATTTTACTTTAATTTTTTCCTCTATACTATTCATAAGCAGATTTATTGCTGTTCCCGTTGTCTAGAACTAGGAGGCCATACCGGTCTTCTCTGTATTCATGAGAACAACAAAGAAGAAAACATGCCCCTTCTCTATAATGCTAACATTTGGAATCAACTTCAAACTACATTGGAGGAGGTGAAGAATATACCGATTTAGTGAATAAAAACCACATTAGCACCAGATGGTTGGAAAAGCTGCCTGGTTGCCTAGGCAACACAGGGATGCTTTCTTGTCTTCCCAAGCAGCACTGCAGAATTCACCGAAGACAAGAAAGTGTCCCCATATTACCTTGGCAAATGGCACAGATCATCATGGCTGCACACAGCTGCAGAACAACAAAGCTGAAGGTAAAATGGTTTTGTTTTGTTTTTGCTGGGGAAAAATTCTCCCCAAAATTCACTCCTCAATTTTCTGGTTGCCATGACTTAGGTTCATAAATAACATAACATAAATAAAGGCATGGCTTCTTGGCTTGAAGCCAGTTACTTTCTACTGCCTCGAACAAGTTTTCCCTGTGTGAATTCTTGCTGGAGCAACTGCTGTTTTTTAATTGGATGGATGCAGCTTGACTCCCACACGTTTCCCGCCCTTGTTGCTTTCATTATGCTTATGAACTTAACCAGATGGCTTTTTTCCTCATGTCATGTTGCTTACTCCGAGCAGCGGTTTAGGAGATTGTTCTGTTCTTCTCTTCAAGTGTTGCTGTTGTAGCATGAAGACCTCCCTACTCCATGTTAGTTCTGTCTCCCTCTTTCTTCCAGATTTTTTTTTTTTTACAAAGAAAGGCACATTGCTCAATGAAGCCTCTGCCAAAAATAAAGGATGCTGTTCATAATAACTTCATCTGAATACCCCTTAGATGCCTGCTCATTTACAATTTTGGAACATACTCATATTACTATTAGCACCTGTGTAGACGTCTTAGCCTTATTTAAAGAGCGCAAGGTGGGATATAAGGAGATATCCCATGTTAGCATCCCTGGGAAGCCAAAAATTAGCAACTGGTACAGGTCACACAAGAAGCTGATCTCTGGACAGGCAAATGGACTTGTGTGTGTGTGTGCATGCACGTGTGCGCATGTTGTTTTTGCTGTTGTTTGTTATATTTTTATCCCATCCTTTCTCTGAGAAGCTCAGGGTAGAAAATGCATTTTTTCTTCACTTTATTTTCGTAAAAACCCAAGAAACATTAGGCTAAGGGACAGACTGAATCAAAGGTCATATACTGAGTTTTATGGATAAGTTGGGAGGGGATACACTCAGATTTCCCCACACCTATTAACCACTAGACAACTTTCTTTCTCTAAAACCCAAATACTTTAGAATAAATATTTTACTGTGTTGCTTTTTAGGTTCTCGTTTGAGGCAGTGGCACCATAGAATCTCTCACATACATACATATATATCAATTGATTTCTACTCAAGAGTTGAATCCAATAAGTTATGGTGGCTTGTTTAAGCCATGCCTTATACTGGGCACCACCTACTTAATTATTAATCTGGTTGTGGCTTCTTGTGTTGTTTGAACGCAGATGACATGCCTCATTAGTGGGAGAAACAACCCTTAAATAGCCCAGGGTCTATTCTGTCTAAGTTTGTTCTCTCTCGAATACGCAATCCTGCATATACGCAATTCAGACACCATAAGAAGGTGTGCCCTAGGTTGGCTGTTAGGCAAATGGTGCCCAACAGCATGCAGAGTGACTTAAATAAGCCACTTTAACTAAAGTAGTGTCTGGAGATGGCACAAGGGATATAGGAGTTGTAAGAAACTTGTAGTAGCCCCAGGACTACACCAGAGCTCTGCAACACGCATTATGCATTCATAACACCTATCACATGAAACACCACATGCAATCCAGCCCGTACATCAAAACACAATTCCTGTTGGCTTTCTCAGGAATTCATGCAGGTGGGCTGCATCATGGTACAAACACTCTTTGAAATGTACTAACCAGAGTACAGAAGATGCACTGGCATTGTGTTATTGTTGTCATCTGCTCCACTGGATACTCTCCAAGACAGAGCTTACATGACACAAGAGGATCAAGCACCAAGTCCCAAGTAGGTCTGTATCTTGCTGTAGTCATTGCAGAATAATCTGAAAGGAGAAAAGAAGTGTGTCAGTAAAAACATCTTAGCAGAAACCTTGTGAATTTAAATAAAATTCAATTAAAATGATGGCTCAATTCCAAGTTACACACAGCTCCTAGAGGGAACCCAATTTTCTTAACTTTGGGAAGTGTATGTGGTGAAATAGAGAATTTACACTGACAATTCACATGTTCCACTTTCATAATCAGCAAAAAGGAAACCTTATTTATTTAGTTAGGAAAACTAAATTATTAGACAGAACTGTGTGCACAAGATGACTTTGTATCTGCATGTAATTCATATCCACTGGCCAAACAGCATAGGCCAGCCTCATTGGCACGTGCCACTCTGCTATGCAGTGGAGCCTTTTTGCGCCTTGAAGTTCTTTTACTTCTACTTGAAGTTCTATTAGACCGGGGAGCAGAAACTAGAGCTTAAGAGAAGCATGCAGGAGTGCTGGCTTGACTCTTATCCTATAGTGGAGCCCACTTGTATTGTGAGGAGTGTCAGGAATACCCAGTACTTGGTCAATCCATGGCTTTCTTTTTCTAAGGCTTAAATGCAGAGACTCCACATGTACCTTAATACTAACTATAGCAAACAACATGCATTCACACCTAACAACCAATGATGCACCTGAACCGTAATTGTTATAACTGGCTTCCTATTTCATATTTTAATTCAACAAGTTGGCTTTTCTTATAGTACAAAAGGAAAAGTTTTACTATCAGTTGAAGACAGAAATCCTTCACAGGTCACAAAGTCCTTCACAGGTCACTTTATAGTTTGGCTTTCTGCTTGCCAAAGAAAGAAGAGAAATCTTTCAACTCTTGGCCACAAAACAGCATCAAGTAAGGATTGTTTTATATTATAAGTGGCATGGACTGGCTGGCAAGAACTGAGAGAAAGAATGAAAAGATCAAACAATCCTATTTGCAGAGAGTGTTCTGGATCATTTCTTCTGAGAATCCAAAAGCATGAACTTTGTTCCAAGGAAAAAAGGAAATAAAAAGTCACTGAACAGGATATTAGCTCCAAATCACAAGTCATAATAGAGATGCAGCAGCCCAGGAACAAACTGTTTTCTGTGTGCGACGTTCTAAGGCTGTATAAGAGGCTGAGCCAGGGAGAGAGAGAGTGTGCGTGTGAGCAAGCGAGAAGACTGGAAAAGGATAATTTTATGCAAATATCAAAACACGGAGTCGCTTGATTTGAAGGTTTCCCACACCTTCACTGCTAGTTGAACAGACATTTTATCCAAATGCATAAAAGAAATAAGAACGATGATCATTATAGATACTTTCTGAGATGGCCCTCTCTTGCTGGGAAAGTCTCAGAATACCATTTACTTGGTCAATAAAATTGCATTGTCCTAACAATGGTGAAAAGGTCAAAATCATCAAACCCTCCTTTGCTTCCCCTCCTTGTTTGTCATGAAGCATCAATGCAAAATGACATCTGCACAGGTTCCATGCCAGCCACGCTAGTAGTGCTGCGTCCAGATATTGTCTCAGTGCAAGAGGAAGGGCAGAGCTTGTTCTTCTGGCACCAGTGTGGGGACTTACTGCGTGAGCCTGTGAACCATTTAGATCAGAGACCAGCATATTAACTGTAGGATTAAGTGATACGTATCCTGCCCTTGGCAAAAGTGCTCCTGTTTGGGGAACCAATCAGGCTGGAATAAGAAATAAACAATGTATAGCTGATAGCAGGGTGGGGCTTCTTGTTTGTTGGTATAAAGGACAATTTTCACTTTTTTCTCAGTCTCCTGAAACCTCTCTCATACTAAAAGAAATGGGTGCCAAAAAAGCTTGAGTAGACCATCTCCCTTTCTCCCGTGCTCCATCCTCCTCTTCTCCCAAACCGACATCCAAACATTCAGTTTTAAACATTTAAAAAGGTTCTACAAGTGCCGGGAGAAGCACAATTCCTTGTCCACCATGTTGAGGGCAGGGGGTGGTGCCAGTTGAGTGACACCTAACTTACCGTTGTCAGGCAATGTTTGTCCCAACATCCTAATCTGGTGAAAGTAGGTAGCTTGTGTGATTAACAAGCCAGCCAGAAAGCCTAGAGCAGGCTATGGTTAGAATAAATTATTAATCACTCTTTAAAGTGGGTCAATGTCTGGGCAAGAGTGACTAACAACAGCCATGCAATACAACCCAACTTCACTATTAATATTGCTTGTTAGGAAGCGAGCCTGAAGGTGGTTCAAGTTTCCAGTCAAAAATCCCCACACACCAATGGAGGTTCCTCCATAGGGACAAACAGAATTTGCCTTCCCCGAAAAATTAAGGTGGAAAAGGCATTTAAAGATGTAATTGCATTGAATTACTCAGTGCAATATTTCTGTGGTACCCAGGCTAAGTCAGTGACTCATTGATCCTGGTTTTCATCTCACTGTCCAGGCCCACAGTTTCACTCTCATATCTGAGTCTCTAGTTTCAAGTTGGCTTTTCACTCAGGTCTCTCTGATCCTGCCGGAGCAAGGGAGAGAGGCCTGAGGGCCAGAGACTCACGTGGTGAGGCTCCCTAGCTCCAGTCTTCTCAGAACAGCAAGGGATAAAGTACTAGTTTCACTATTCCCAGGAAATTAGCAAGACTTTCTGCTGAGCCTGCCGACAGTTGTAGGACAACTGTCAGCCAATAGCATGAATCCCTCAGTCTTGAGTAGGGCCAGCCCATCAAATGCCTCCAAGAGCCACTGCTCCACTTGGTTGACTTTTCTCCATCAGGACAGGGCCACAGAGAAGCAATATTCAGAAGAAAGAGAGCATTGCTAAAGAGCAAATTCCTTCCTCAGTTTCCAAAAGGTTTGCTTCTTCTAACAGACCCACTTTGGCTAAAAAAGACTGCCCTGGCTTAGTTTGCTTTTATTTTTAATTTTTTACCACCTTGTCCACTCCCTTCCCTCAAGGAATAATGCCCAAATTTGGATCCCTTTAAAGAATGAGCATAGTTAAAAGTTCAATTTTTTGTATTTCTGCTAGGGTCGCCTCCTCTTCAGAAGTGGCATGGTCTCCAGGAATCAATGTTCCTCATTAGGAGAACATTGAAAGCAATCCTGCAGATTGTAGCAGTTTTGTATTGCATAAAGTATTTGCAGCAAGAGAAATAAATATACATTTTCAGGAAGATCTGCAACTAAGTATAAACCAATGGCTTATGCCTGAACTTTTAAATGGCATCCCCCACATTCACCAAGTTTGAAGGAATAAACTTTGCCTTTCAGCTCAACATTCATTTCTGAGCACCACAAAACACAGTTTATCTATGCATTAGAAAACCACTCACTGGACAGCGGGTACATTAGAAATATGCCTCATCTATTACTATTCAAGTCACTGCTCTGGTTTTTGTCACTTAATGTTCTGAGGGTGGCTTATTGTGCTACTTTCCTTTTCAGCTACACAGAAGTGGAGGAACAGAGCCTTCTCCATTTGCCAAGTGTGCATGCCTATTAAAAGGAGAAAGTGGCCATTTCTGCACATGTGCACACTCACAACTAAACTGCAGCCAGTGCATTTTCGACTTGGATATCTCAAGTACAAAATGCAACACAATGAGCACAGAAAGGAAAGGAAGTCTGTTGTCTGTGCATGAGAAAAAAAGCCCAAGCTTTCAATTGGTGCAAAGCAGAAAACAAAGAGGCCTGTTTACTTGTCAGTAGCCAAGTGGGAGTAGAACACTTAATATTTTGAAATCCAGGGTTGTGTTATTTCCTGTTTAGAAGTGCTACAGGCTAGACGGTTTTGCATTGCCCTGGAATCATTCAAGGCCTGAATTTCTGTGTGGGTGGTGCTGGTGGGGAGGCGCCATTCCAGCAATTATTGTTAGAGATGACCCACAGGAAGCAAAAGAGAGGTATCAGCAGAAAGAAGTTTTAAAGGCCAAGCATCCAGGAAAGAAGGCATCAGAATATGATTTGTATTGTCGGTTTGTTTCATTTAAGAACCTATCATTCTGTATGTTCTTTGTCCCGCAAGAATTCTTCTTCCTCTTCCTCACTGCTGAAGTCTCATCCTTTACCTCTGTCTTCTCTATCTGCGCTCTTCGTATCATGGGACGATGTACTGCAACATCATTAGGACGCTTTGCAGGCAGATACAGTGGCTGCCATGGCTTAGGTACAAATATCTCACAGAACATCTGGGCAGCCTAGGATCAGGCTGCTGAAAACTAAATATGACATAGGACCCTGTTCAGAAGCTGTTCTCCCTCAAAAGAGAGGTTCAATATGGGCATGGAGCTCTGCAGGGAAGAAGCAGCAGTGGGCGTTTCAAGGAAAACAGGATGGCAGAGAGTTGTGATTCCCTGGCACTCTTCCCTTTCCCCACTGCTAATCTGCTCCCGGGTCCACTCGGCTGCTTTGCACGCACGAAGAAGTCTGGGGACTACCTACCATGCTATGTGGTTGTGCAGAAATGCTCTGCTTGGCCTTGACTGCCAAAGCAGAGCTGAGATCCCTCAGAAGGTCCATGAGTGGTGAATAGCTATTGCAGAGACACGATCAATCATTCAACAACATTAGTCCTCAAACACTTGCTGCTTCCTCATAAGTGAATGATAGAAGCCTGTGTACGTATTTATGTGAGAGGCTGGATAAGGAAATATCATTAAATAGATTCTGGTATGTTTGTGTATGGAATTATGACTAAGTATTAATATGAACTGCAGCATTAAAGCTCCATGTGGAAGAATTGTAAATAGGAAAGCAGGAAGTATAATATGAATACAACCCACAATTCCAATAGTCATGCATTAGTCCCAGAATTTTTGCCTGGAACACAAAAGTTGCAATTCTATACCTAAATAGAAGCAAGTCCAACTCAACAAAGTGTGACTTCCTGTCAAGTAAACAAGTATAAGACTAGTCCATAAACTCGCAAAGCCAAATGCATATGCATGATTCCAGTAGCGATAGCGCTATGGTGAAGCAACAGTTAAAGAGGAAAGCAACCTTGAGCTATAGCCAGTAAGCTCAATGATGGCTGTGCTGCTTTGTAA